AAGTCAAAAGGTTCAAGAGAAGTTGTAATTAAGAAATAAAAGACGTGAATTTACAGGATTAACATTGTAAATGTGAAAAAAATTAAGCCTAACATCAACTAGAAAAATGATGGAGATAAATAAATCAGAAATAAACTAAAAATTCACAAGAACAAAGAAGTAAACACCAAAGCGAAAAGTGTCAAATTCACTGAAAGAACAGAAGTCACAAGATTAAATCATACAAGAGTTAAGTGGAACATTTGAAGATCAAAGTTGTAATTTCAATAGAATTATGTAAATGTTCTGTTTTAGACAGAAGTTATAATTAAGGGCTACGGTTAATCTTTATGTAAAATATCAAATATGGGGATATAAGAACAGCAGCTAGATGCTAAATTGAGGAATTGTGGATTATCTTGTGAAGTTTAACGCCACAGTCACAGAAGTTTGTCAGGCCATCCATCTGCCTGCTCTTCACTATGATAGACTCAGTTTCTTGCAGAAATTGAATCCTGACTATGTGACAGTATGTTGCTCGTGATAAAACATACGTCTACAGTTATTCATGAAACCTACACTTCACAAGACACTCTGAACCTTACTCAGCTGCCTGCAGTAAAGGAAAGATTAACCTCAGACATAATCTTGACTCTATCTATATGTAATAATAAAAACTGGCACAATCCTGTGAATTAAACTAAACTGGTTAAGTGTTTGAAAATTGTCAGGCAAATTTGGGAGGCCAAACATCCCACAGTGAAAGCTTATTTTAATGTGTGAAGTGCAAATCTTCTTGAAGTGGCTAACTTCAATCCTGTTTTCAGGTGGGGGAATTCAGCCACTTTCATGCCTCAGTACGATTAAAAGTGTTGTATTGTCGTAGATTTATTTAGTTTTGAAGCTGTCTCTTACAGCTAGATTCCACAGGATAGGGCTGCGTTTCACCTTGGAACGGCAGCCTAAACAAATATGCAAGCATTATAATCAATGTGCATGATTCCACACAATGCGTCTGCCGTCTGGCTCTGCTGCGGATCCGCTCCGGTGGTGGGATCAGATACGCAAGGCTCACTAGCAAGAAATATAAGTAATATTGCAAGTGCTTCTCCTCCGTTCGCGGCAGCCGATTGGATCCAGTGGGTGCTGTATGCTTGTGTTTTTGACCCGCCTGCTGTTCTGGAGTGGAGTGTAGCAGATCTGCATGCGGTGGAATCCTGGTGTTACCCCGTACGTCACCATTTCAACCTCACGAGAGTAACAATGCAGCATTTATTTTAATATTAAATCTCAAGCTGAAGATAGACCTGCTGTTTACTACCCGAAAACATGATGGCTGTCCCACTTCTCCAGCATTGGTTTGGCTTATCAGCTCAAAAATCAGCCTGATCTGGTTACGAGTAGTTGTACGCTCATGAATGGTAGGGGTGTTGAAGAGGCAGAGAGTGTGACAGCCCGCAGAGCAGCTGAGACAACGCAAGCAGAACATTTTTTTTTTAAAGTTACAGGACCAAACAAAACAGTTGAGATGTAAATTCAACTTTATGTGTGCAGAATTAAATGGAAACAAGTCCTGGTGTTAACATTCGATCATGAAGAAAAAGGTTTGTAATTCTGAGAGATGGTGGTAGTTGAGTCCATCAGCCTTCAGACGCCTGAAGAATTGGCTGCTAACCCAGCCGCTGAAGCCCAGAGTTAACAAAACAATAACCTCCAGGAGTTTGGTCCTCTTTGGTTAACATCCCTTATATCTGTGTACAGTCTGAGCTCTTTGATTAGAGTTTGAGCTGCAGCCTAATACAAATGCAAGAAAATAGAGCAAGTCAATCCAGCCTAAAATTTACAAAATAAAGTTCATAAAGTTCATGTCATTACATTAAGTTTTAAGTCAATTAAGTAACTGGTAAATATAGCTTTACATTATCAATTTGGACTTAAAAATAGCATTAAAAATCTTAAATATGCGATTAATCGCGATTGATTTAATTGAGACTCAAATTCTGTGATTAATCAAGAATTTAAAAACTTATCAAAAGGCCATAGGATCAGGATTTTATGAGCTGAGAAAAGAAAAATAAGAGAAAAACATCCAAAATTAGCACATTTTAAGTAATGCCTGGGATATCCATTTTTTTCTCTTTATGTTTTTTTACCTTTTAAATTTTCCTTTTTAATGCTGTATTATGATCAGTTTTCCTCATTTTATAAATAACATTTCATAGATGAGATGACTTGATATTTCGGTAACAATCGAGACCATACTGGAGCAATTGTACCTTTTTAATCAGAAGTCTGACAGCGGTGTCATGTTTGAACTCTCATATAAACCTGTCTTTCTTGAGGATAAACACACTGCAGAAAAATTTGTGCGGTATTATAAAATTGTTTTATCAATATGCAGATTCCTTAGGAGTTTGTGTGTCTGAGGATCAAGGGCTTCCTGAAGTGTGTGTGTGTGTGTGTGTGTGTGTGTGTGTCTCTCAGTGTGTATTTAGCTGCAGGTTAGTGGCCGGTGCATGCCTCTATTACTCACAATACTACCTCGTGGCAGCCTCAAGGATCCCTGGCTCCACACCCTCAGGCTACTCTTACGCACATACCTCAAGCAACCAGCCGGTGGAAACTTACTGATTTCCGACAAACAGAGGCAAGCTGATTAGAAAAAGGGTTTTGTGGGTCACTGATTGTTTCTTCTTTTGTTTGTGAGGTGGACTTTAGAGGACACACAAGTCTAATCTGTTCTAGTCCGTGTGTGTCTTTGGCTGGCAGGTAGAGAGACAACATGTAAATGAGAATATTACAGTATTGACAGCTTTCTGCAGTCAGGTGTTTACATCTGATTTGATAAATCCTCAAGGAAAGTCATTGAGCCAAGGTTGGACTGATGTATTGAGCTGATGATGGCTTCTAATTTAAAATCAAATATATACGCAACCTGTAAATGCAATTTATTTGAGCACATTTATTCTTCAATCTGTCAATGCAGCTCCCTGATATTCACCCTGAACACATTTAGATGATGTAACTTTGATGATGGTGTCAATGAAGTCTTTAGGTTCCTTAAATATGCTGTTGTAGCGAAGAATAAAATAGAGTCAGCCATGAAAATACCCCCACCCTATGTGACATTTCAAGACACTTTGGTGGGATTTGCAGCATCTTTTGATCTTGAGAGGTTTCAACAAGATCATGAAGTTTTTCTTTATTTGAAGACACTAATGAAAAGTTCTAGCAAGATTTCATTAAACTGCAAGACTAGATCCAGAGAAATGCATGCAAGCTTTCAATACAGTCTTGCAAGGTATTTTGATAGCAGAAAAACGTTTGCAAGATTCGAAGAAACTTGTGGAAGGAGACTTGTGCAAGATACTAAGAATCTGTTGTTAGATCCAGAGATTCTTTGCAATACTTCAGAAACATTTGCAAGCTTGCACAATAGCTTTATGGCCTTTTCAGAAAAAGTTGTAAGATCCTGAAAGACTTTTACAAAATCCCAAGAAACTTTGGGGGGTTGTAGAGATTCCTTGCAAGATCTTAAAAAACTTTTGCAACATCTTGAGATGTTTTTGTGACCTCTTGAGGAACTTGATTAAGATCCAAAGAAACTTTCTTGAGATCCTTAGATATTTTGTTTTTTTGTGGGATCCAAGGAAACCTTTTATCAAAGACCAGACACTGAAGCAAAATTCTGAGAACTTTTGAGAGATAAAGGTTCCTTTGCAAGATCTTAAGATTGGTTTGTTGCTTATGGAGAAATTGTTGTGAGACCTTGAGAAAGTTTTTCTAGATCCATTAAAACTTGTGGAAGATTCAACAAACTTGTGAAACATTCTAGGAAATTTTGAGAGAGAGATTCCTTTGCAGGATTCTGAGAAACTTTTACAAGATCCTAAAAAAATGTATTCAAGTCACTGGAAACCTGTCCAGGAAAGTTGAGGAAGATTCCAGAAACTTGTGCAGGATTCAGAGGGTCCTTTGCAAGATCTTGAGCAATCTTTGAAAGGTCTAAAAAAAAAAAAAAACCAAAACAAACAAAAAATACATCTGTGATATCTCAAGAAACTTTTGCGAGATTCAAAGAACTTTTGCACGATCCTTAGAAACTTCTGCATGTGTTAAAGGTTAAGTGGATGGATTTCCACTCGGTACTGTTCACTTTTTCGGAACAGGTTTTGCAGATTTGCTGCTTCAGCTGCAATTTTTGACTTGTGCTGATTGTTTGCTGCATTAACAACACAGATATTTGTTGATATCGATTAACACATGGTCTCCAGCTCATCAGGAACTGTGTTGTCTTCAGAGCAGATTGTGTTTACGTAGAAAACACAACTATTAACTTGGTACAGCATATGCATTATATCATGTCTGTCAATGAACCTGAAAAGAATTTGATTCAACTTCAAGTTCTCAGAGTATTTGTGTTGGCTTGTTATTCTTTGTCAGAAGGTCTTCTTTAAATTACTTTACTTGCCCTGTTGGTCTCTGTTAGTGATGCTGTCATGTCCTCTTGAACTATTACTTCTTTAAATTACTTTAAATCTACTAAGAGTAAAGCAGGACATGCCTCACAGTTTGATAAAACTCAGCCAACCATGCTGAGGCCACTCTGCATTACCTTTAACACCATAATTATACATTTACTCAGCAGGTGACTGCTCCAGTTTGACCGCAGGCGTGCCCATCGATTTTCTTATATACAGTTAAAAAGCTAAAGGGGACATATCGAATCATCCTCGCATCCTTCCTTAGTCACAAATCCAGCCTGTCCTGTTGGTTTGTGGTTGTATCTGAGGTTTAATTCACTCCTCGCCTCAGTCACCACATCTAATCAAACTGTAACCACCGTGACTCCGAGTTCATGTTCTGTTTGGAGAATTAACAAGCTGAGAGTGTGTCTGACTCTGTGTGTGTGTGTGTGTGTGTGTGTGTGTGTGTGTGTGTGTGTGTGTGTGTGTGTGTGTGTGTGTGTGTGTGTGTGTGTGTGTGTGTGAGCTTAAGTATGACTCGCATGGGAGGGAAAAGTGTGTGTGTGTGTGTGTGGGTAAGTGTCCATGAGAGTATGAGGTTGATTAGTCCAGGTTTTAATGTGGTGTGGTCGGCATAGCCTCAGGTCATGCAACAGGCCTATTGTGGGAGGCAGAGAGAGAGGGAAGAGAGTGTGTGTGTTTCTGTCTGTGTGTGTAATGTACGTGTGCGTGTGTATGTGTGTGTGTGAGTGTGTGTGTGTGTATGTTAATGTGTCTAATTAAAGGCGTAGGGGATCATGCTCCGGCACTGAGCTCGAGCAGCCGCCTGACGCAGATATGACCTCAGGCCATGGTCTATCTCACACAGACACACACACACACTCACATACAAATACTCACATAGTCTCACACACACACTCCGACATAGCTGCACTTGCAAACTAAGTGATATACATCCATGCACTACAACATCCTTAAAACATATCATCCACATTAACACACCACGGCGGCATTGCACACTCTCATAAACCTATTTGCATGAGAGAAAATACACTTACACACACTAAAGCAAAGAAACAGACCTGACATGGCTCTGAGATATAGCCTCACACACATATTTTTAGGAAACAGTCCATAACACACCGTCCTTGAGCCGGAGTGTGACCGATGACTGAGCAGATCAGGGACCGAAGAGAATCCACCGCCAGCACTGAGGTTTTGTGAAGTGAATAAATCTCTGATTCAGTCGATATGTCACATCCTCAGATTTATGAACACACAGTTCAGACACACAACAGCTCCTGATGCTCAGACTGTGCTAACATCACATTTCCCAAATTGCCTCGTTTGTGGAGGCAGAGGTGAGGAACAGCTTAGTGCCGTATACTTGGCTCATATTGAAGCTCACCTCAGCTTTGCAGCGTGAGAAGCTTTGCTGCTCACATTCTTTCTATGCTAACAATGCTTCTGCAACACCAGATTACAGTAACGGTGGTGCAAACAGACAAAGTATGAGTCTTTTACTGAGCCAGAAAGTTTAGAGATGGAAAATAAAGATGTGGACAATGACATTTAATCGTGCAGGAGTTAATGAACCTTTGCAAACTCAAAGACACGGTTACTGCCTGTTGTGGCTCTTATTGTAGGGGTTTTAGGATATTGTCCTTGCAAGATCTTGCAATAAGATTCACTCATAATATCTGTAAACACAAGCGCTCATGCTGCAAATAAAAGGGTAAAAATACGACTAAACACTCTCTGAAATGTAAGCGCATTCGTGCAAATAAGACAGATGTGTTGCACTGAGAAAACAAGATTTATTTTAGTGTTTCCATGATGCAAGATTTTATAATTTATGTTTTAAAGGGAATTCACTGCATGTTTTTACTCTTTAAAGCACAATTTTATTGTGTAATTGATTGTGCCTTTTTCTGAAGGTCTTCTTTCCTGCCCAGGCTTGACTTAACAACCTAACAAGCCTTTGAACAGACTTTTCAGAGCCAAGGCCAAGAGCTGGAGAGGAACACTGGGGATGTTGCAAGAAGCAGGGGAATTGGACAAGACCTGAGTTTTGGGACGACAGTGACAGGCAAGGAATTCTGCCCATTCTGTAAATACAATTAATAACTTTAAAACTAACATGATACAAAATAAATAAATAAATAAATCACCCGTATTACAGTTGGTGGTGTGGGAGCCTTAAGCTTATTAGAACTAAACTGGTTTTGGAGTGTTAAACACATTCACTTTTGCTCAAAAACAGGATATTTTTGGCTTAGTGTGTATGTGGTTTGGTGCTTTTTTAGCCAATCCTTAGTGGACACTCAGGGAACTGCAGTTTCAGCACTTAAAGATACCTCTCCCTTTAAAAATGTTTGATAATGAAATCTGCCCTATAAATAAAGATTACTGTTCGGTTAATAATAAGTATGTGAGCTATAAAAGTTAAACCATTTCTTCTCCAGGTGCTGTTAGTTGATGAAATTATTGTTTTAATGCCTGTTTCTCATGCTGACTCCCACTTTTCTGCCACTTTCCTGCCCATGTCAGGACAAGTCATTATATATACAGTATATAGATACTAACAGGGATAATTTACAGTCATTTATATCCTGTAAAACATAATAAATTGTTGATGGCTCATCTTGTCCTCAGGGCATTTTCTAATTTTGGATTCGACTGTATGGTTTCCCAAATCTGACATCCATCCACCATAACTCTAAATTCAGCTGATTATCAACTGCTGCTCAGGACCTGCGAAGTAACATGCATGGATGTCGATGTGTTTATGTTAACAGATGTTTGTGACAAGTTTCCAGCTGACTTTTTCTCTGTGAAGGTTCTGTGAATGTCCAGGAATAAATGGCCCTCTGCTAGTTTCATGGCGACATTTTTTTTTGTTTGTTTTTTTTGCACCAAATTTAAAGTGGTCTTGTCACTCTGACAGAATACAATGCCTGTAGAGTGGATGGGAACAATGTGCAAATTTACATTTGAAGCAAAAAACAAAACACTTAAAAGATCAAAACAAGGTTAGTTTTGGAGGATCTCAAAGTTTAAAACAACAAAGAGTCATGTAAAGATGGAGAGGCAATGTGAGCTGCTTTAGATGCTAATTTTGAAGCATTATGATGATTGTCTTTCAGATGTACTAACTCAGAAGAACATGATGAGGCACAATAAGACAGGAGTGTGTGTTGTAACAGAAAAAGCCACATTAATACGTTAAATACTAATGTCATAACACTGATGTTGATGCTAATGTGTCTCCAGCTGTTCTCCGTTGCTGTCTGAGCTGCAGAGGACAGAGTTCTTCTAGAAACACTGCACACTATCTGAGATGGAGATATTAAAAACACAAGTCAGACTGAGTCGCAGTCTGGAGTTAGATACAGCGTGACAGCCAATGTGTGTGTGTGTGTGTGTGTGTGTGTGTGTGTGTGTGTGTGTGTGTGTGTGTGTGTGTGTGTGTGTGTGCGCACATGCATGTTTCAGAGCCTTCACCACGAGGAAGAGGAAGGTGGTGGTTGGTGAAGGGCGGATGGGTTGACTTGCTGGCATGAAGAGGAGAGGGAGGGTGGGTTGGAGTGGAGTGGAGTGGGGTGAGCTGGAGGGAAGTGGAGGGGAGGGGGATTGTGGGTAATATGGGTGTCAGGGTGCTAGCAGTCTGTCGCCTAAGGCTGTGACATTACCGCACTTCTGCTCCGCTTCAAAAGAACCAAATCTAACTGACGACTGCTGTGATGGCTCGGAGAGTGTGCATGTGCGTGTGTGTGTGTTAGCCGTGCATACTGTATGTGTGTGTCTAAATGACGTTCGCTGTGATCTGAAATTGGGATAATGCGCCGTGACACACTGCCTCGTGAAAGGCTCGAGACTGTATTACCCTACTGAACCAGCACCCAGGGCTCTGAGTGTGTGTGTGTGTGTGTGTTGTGTGTGTGTGTGTGTGTGTGTGTGTGTGTGCGCGTGTGTGTGTGTGTGAGAGAGAGACACCTAATGCGGATTGATTGATAGATTGATTGGCAGTTGGATAAACAGGTTGTGTATACAAACCATGAGTGGATTCTGTATTGAGTTTTGGGAGTCTGGGTAAGCTGAGCAGTTTTTAGTGTCAATTGACAGACGGAGTGTTTTATTGAACGTTTAAAATCAGTCAGAGCTAAGCTAATAGAAAACCTTTACCCCAACTGAGACCAGGATGATATACTTTTACCAAACAAGAAGAAAAATGACCCATTTGAGTGTCATTTCTTTAATTATGTACTCGCTAAAGGACTCTTACAAGGATGGTATTCAGAGAACGCATCTGAAGGAAGTCGAAGTCTTGTTTTTCATGTGTTAGAGAGTTCATCTCATATCTCCTCTTTTCTTCTGGAAGGATGGAAACAGCAGAGTCAGTAAGCTCATCCTATAATTGCAGCCTGAATTGAGCTTATGTGTAGCCATTCTGCATTAAAGATTCACGCTGAGTGGAAACTGCACTTAAAATTTCATATAGTGCAGAGAACAGAGAGTATGTGGAGGTTCTGTGCTGGAGTTTCAGGTCTCTAAGCTGCCCTTTGGTCGAGTCTGGAAATTAGTATATTGTCGCTGTCCGATGAAAAACATGAAAAACAAAATTTTTTAGCGATCTGGACTTTTTTCAATACATGAGTGGTCCATAATCTTCCCAAACAACCCATAGCTTTGGGTCTCCAAATGAGCAATTGAAAGACATTTTATAACATCATCTTTTCAACAAATATCTCCATTGAGTGTCGGAAGTGTCAACAAAGCACATATCTCCCACCCTGGCCCTGAGTTGTCATGTCAGCAAATAGATTTTTCTTGGGACAGACTCATTACAGTCCAGGATAATTCTACACTAATGTCTTCACATTGACTGATGCTAACCTCAAACTTTTCCCTAACCATGACAGTGTTGCAGAAGTTCACCCCCAGAGGCAAAGCTGCTGATGTTTTCTCACTCACACTCGGTCGTGGACACTAATGCCTGTGGGAGTCGCGACTCAAAAAGGTTGACAACCAATGTGCTATGTGGAAATGTAGGATAGCCTTCTATCAATAGTTTATTAACATAGTGGGACATCAACAGGACACTCGAGGCTTGTAAATAACCTAACGTTATTGGAGCTTATTATTAAAAAAACACATACGTCAACTATCACTCACAATGCAAAGCACCTAAGTCCATTTAAAATATAAATCAGGACACTGATGACTGTGTAAATATAGATTTTGATTTTGGGTCCTAATTGTGTCTAACTACAGTGTTTTGGGTTTATTCTGTGATGTAGTTTATAAATAAAATAGTTATTGTTCCCGGAAAAAAAAAAAAAAAATTCTGAATTTTGGAGATACAAGTTTTTTTATTGAACAGCAATGATAAACAGCTGCTGATATATGTTCAAACATGAGTCTGGTTCTGCTCAAGGTTTCTGCCTGTCTAATGCTGGGTCTTTTTAAATAATGAAACAAAGACCAGGGCCTAGATCTGCTCTGTATGTAAAGAGTCGTGAAATTATATTTGTCGTTAATAGGTGCTAAAAAGACGAAGACTGATTCACCATTATCAATCATTGCAGTTCTCGCAGTGGCCACTTGGGCCCAGTTACCAAAGTGAGTATATCCAGCATTGTTGTCCATGTAGATTCTCATTCATCCAGGTCATGGTTTTCTTGAAGACTTAAAAAACAGGCAACTGGACTGTGTAGAGTTGAGAAGAAGTTTCGCCTCTTATCCAAGAAGCTTCTTCAGTTCTTATTATTGCAAGTGTGAGGAGCAGATATTTATCTTACTGGAGAAGGGGACAGACAACGACTGGGAGGAGTTGGAAAGAATGGGTCATAGAAACCCATCTCCGGGTGTTGTCCTTGACATCTTCACGGGTGAACTTGATGTTTCTGTCCACTGTGTTGATATGGTCAGTGAAGGCCTCTACTTCATGTGTTTTGATCTTAACCCAGGTGTCATCCACATATCTGAACCAGTGGCTAGGTGCGGCTCCTTTGAAGGAGGTTAGGGCCTTCCTCTCTACCTCTTCCACATACAGGTTTGCCACTATTGGAGAAACTGGGGAGCCCATAGCGCATCCGTGTTTCTGTCTGTAATGGCGCTCTCTGAACCGGAAATAGGTGGTGCTGAGGCAAATGTCCAATAAGATGTCCAATAAGGAGCAGATGTGGTCGGGGGTTAAGTTGGTTCTGACTTCCAGTGTCCTGTCCTGTAAGAGGCGTTGTCTTACTGCTTGGACTGCCTCTGTTGTCGGAATACTCGTGAAAAGTGATGTGACATTGTAGGAAACCATGGTTTCATCTGGGTCCAACCTGATGTCCTTGATTTTCTTGGCAAAGTCCTGTGAGTTTTTGACGTGGTGAGTGGTGTGGCCGACAAGAGGAGCTAGGATGGTGGCCAAATGTTTTGCCACTTTGTATGTGACTGAGTTGATGCTGCTGATGACGGGTCCAACTCCTCCCAGTCGTTGTCTGTCCCCTTCTCCAGTAAGATAAATATCTGCTCCTCACACTAGCAATAACTAGAACTGAAGAAGCTTCTTGGATAAGAGGCGAAACGTCTTCTCAACTCTACACAGTCCAGTTGCCTGTTTTTTAAGTCTTCAAGAAAATCCAGCATTGTTTTTCTTCTTTAGCTCAACCTTGTTTATGTGACTATTGTAAAGAGTGGGATTTGTCCTGCAGGGATCCGGACAAGCAACAGGGCTCATACTCAGTATTTAGTATACGTGTATTTGCCAATGCATTTAAACTAAGGGCTTGGGGATTGCAAACTTTTGTCTTCCTCATCTCCTTACAATATGCTACTGCTTTCAGTATGTGGCCAATCGGATGCCAGAAGACAAGAACACCCTCACTTCTGCCTCACCTGAGCTCTGCATTCCCCCCAAAAACTGAAGCCCTTGGCAGCCCAGAGACTGACACCAAGCTCTATATCATGCGCACTCACCTTGATGTGCACTGTCCTTAATACACACTGAAATAGACATACATGCTCTTAACTCATCCATTAAAGCAGAGAAAAAGGTTTAGAAAAGTTTTCTTTTTTTTTTCCTTAATCATTTCTGACCTAAAAAGCAAGACTGTGGTTTAATTGTCAATTTAAGACTTATTAACAAAAGTCCAAACATCTTGGACCATTATTTACAACTCTATCCCCTTACTTAAAGTCATCTGATGTAAATCAACCCTACAGTCCTCCAGCACTTTTCTTTGTGCATGTGATCATGTGGGTATCATCCTGGTCTGAGGGGAAAGAGTTTCATTTGACAACAAATATGATTTACTTCAAAAACCTCCAGTGTCTTCTCTGGTCCTCTTCTTTGCTTCATTTTGTCTTTCATTTCTATCTGCCCACCTCACACACAGCCTTTTCTGCAGCTGTCAATAAAGATGTTGCACCTGTTATACAGTCCGAATTTGACCTGAAACCAACAAAGACACACACACACAAACACACACACACACACACACACACACACACACACACACACACACACACACACGTTGGGACTGGCGGGTCCATTAGCACATCCAAAGCTCCTCCATGTCACCGTGCCGTGTTACCGCTAACAGCCATGACAGGATATCTTCACATGCTTTTATCATCTGTGTTTGTGCAGGTGTGCAGATATTGCACAAACAATATGTCAGTGCATATGTGTCCATATACAATTTGTGTGTGTGTGAAAGTGTACGTAAGTGTTTTTGTGTGTGTGTGTTTTGCGCTCATGAAAGGCTGGTAATTTCACGCGTGGTCAGACGGTTGCATTTCAGCTTTAGCCTGGAGTGTAGCAGGAACTCCTTAACTGTTCAATGACTTTAGCTTGAGGCAAGGTCCGCCTACACACACACTCAAGCACACACACCTATGAAATTACACCCATCTACTTGTTCTGCTCCCATCCCCACACACACTCTTACACACACTCACACAGAGGCGTTTGTTGCTGTAAGGTGTATGTAGTTGCTTTACGCCGGAAGGGAAGATCACTGCTTTGTCTGTTTGATAAAGCTACAACGTCCATCTCCTTCAAAGAGCGCCGTGCTGATCTGATGTGAGGCGAGTGTGTTGATGGATTTGACGATTACGCCGCCCTGGGCGCTGAGCAAGAAACAGTGATGGTGCCACGCTTTTCAAACAAGAGGAGGAAAGGAACATGAAGAAGATGATTAAAGAAGTTAAAAAGAGGCTAATGTGTTATCAAGAGATCTTCAGATGAGGCTGAAATACGTTTTATGAAGCTGTGGCAGTAAATCGTTCTGGTTTCACAATAAAAGTGACAGCAATGAAGAAGGAAAACTTTATGTTTTCTTGCAAAACTTTTATTTACAAAAGTGCAATATTCCTGTGATGATTACAATGAGGTGAAACATTAAAAAGTGTCACTGAACCTATTAAGAGTCAATGCTGATTCAAAATTACAGATTACCTCATTATCTTCTGCTCTCAATCAGTCATGAGAAAAGTTCCCCCTTTCATTCAGAAAAACTAAACTGGATCATGTTAGTTATTGTCTTGTTTAAAAAATGCAAACCTGAAAATTTCTTGACATTTCCCTTAAGTTCCTGCAAAAAAGTCTTGGACAGTAATTTGGTAATTAAGTATTTTGTGGTATTAGAAGCTTCTGTTAGGAATTTTCTGACATTCATGAAACAGATTGAAATTCATCTTGGTGCCTTTTTATGAATTACGATAGCAAACAAGACAATCTAGGACAAATTTTAGACTGTATAAAGCGTGATATTGGGGTGAGGGGGTCGGTGTTAGTGGAGCCACTGAAGAAAGATTTTTAACATTAAGTATTAACAATAAATGATACTTTACTAACAACAATCAGCAGGAAGAGTTTTTTTTAGTTAGTCCTTGAGGACAATAGACTACTTTGTCAAAAAGGGGTGCAAAACTAACACAAGCTAGAAGTACCTCTCAGGAGCTTTAAAAACAACTGAAGTTTCTGTTTTATTACAGCCAAAAAGCTGCTTTCATGTATAAAACAAATCCCTAAATAAAAAGAAAAAATGTAATGTCTCACATAAAGAAGATCAGTCCTGAGGAGAAGCATTTCCAGTTTTGACCAAATAATAGTGCAGAGCCAGCAAATCGCGAGAAAGCTGTGAACAAAATTTGTCCTAATTGTGCCCACTAAAAATTTAAGGGCACATCTTAGAATAATCCTCTGACCACTGTGAGGATGTCACAGAGGACCACTGAATGTCAGGACAAAATTAAGAGCAATGTACAAGTCTTTACCCACAGGATTAAGAACCATGTGAGCAGCTGAGCCCTGAGGATGCTGTCTCAGCACACTCTGGAACGGCCAAACTAGAGCACGGTTTTCTGTGCCAAGCATGGTGACATAAAGCTGTGTCAAGAGTGATCAAGCTGTTTATGTACAAACAATATGTTACAATAACATTGGATCTCAATAGCTGGAGACAATGAAGGAGGTTATTAAATGTAATAATATAACCTTGAAGACAAAAAACAAAAACAAAAAAAAAAACAGCATTTTCTCAGCAGGTTTCTCACGCCACTATGGAAAATCTGTATTGACATTAAAAGTCTGAGATGCTGCTGAGAAAATGATTGAGCTGTTTCTCAGAGTGTACGATTGGGTTGTTAATTCTTTGCTGTAGGCGAGTTTGTTTGTGCAACACTTTTCAGCAGCAGTGACAGAGAGAGTGCTCTGTGTGAGATCCTGAATTCATTTAGACTCATTAAATAAACAGAAGAAAGTCAAACCTAAATGTGACTTTAAATTAGATACGTTAAAGAGAGAGCCATGTGCAAATTGTACCCAGAATTCTCTGTGTTTCAGTTGTGACCCCCCAGCTCTGAACCTGTACCGCTCTTCCTCTCAGCTTAATCACATTCACCTGCCGTCCCTGCGGTAATTCGTCCCCTCAGTCGTCACCGCGGCAACACCTGTCACTCACATTGATGAGCTGTCTGACGGACTCTGTGGGATTATCCGGCACCACCAGTAGCTCTACACCCGGCAAACTGGCAAGCATCTGGCACAACACCTGAAGCCAAGTCTGCATGGCTGCTCAGTCCTTTGTTTTCACCTGTCCTCTGTCCGTCCTCACAGTCGCTGCTGTGACCTCACCTGCATGGTCACATCTGGCCACAGCGACTCTGACAGAATTGACCTTGCTGAGTATTTTGAGTTTTGAATGCTTTCTTTCAATTTTGATTCATGAATGAAGATCAAAATGGTTATACAATTGTAATGCAAACAGCTGCAAGAGTTAATTATGTGAAAAAGAGTAAAGAGTGAATGAAATTAAAATTGAGTAAATTGCAGAGATTTTGGAAGGTGTGGACAAACTAAGAGCACTCAGAGGGGTGGCACTGGCTCCCCTTGACAAGTTCTTGTCTATGTTTGGCTGTTTGCCTTTTGTCAGATGCAGGACTTCCGTTACTCAGAAATATGTATGATAGTTAAATGACAGCAGTTAAAGTGGGTGGGGAAGACAGAGAGAGTAAATGCACACACTCTCTTTGCATAAGACAGTGCAATTAAAAGATGTTATCATGAAGGCAATATTGGTTGTGAGAAATAAACCTGTGTTTTCTAACAAGGCCTCAGTCCAGTGAAATCCTGCACAGTAAGTCTGCATTGCCCACTCAGTTCTAAATACTCAATCTCTATACAAATCCTGCACAGATTTTGCAATTATTGATTTTAGCTCAGTTGAAGAATAAAAGTAACTTTATTTATCCCCAAAGGGAAATTAAATAGTTAGTTAGTTTATTTTGGATAAACATAATTTTGAAATATGAGGCTTTTACATTTGAAACTAAAAGTCTTGTTTTTAACATGCACTTCACCTTTTACTACAAAACAGTGTATTTACTTTTTTTTGCCAAGTGCTGATATACTGCAGAAGAAAATGAAAAATGTATCACAAATCTGTGAGTGAGTACTGTCTTACATGGATCAAAGCTTTTTAAGGCAAAAACTTAAAATCTTATTAGTTGAAATATCACATTGCAATTAAAGTTCCTTTGACGATTTTTTTATCTGGTTATAAAACAGGATGAAATTTGCAGTGATGCCTCTTTATCACCTAAAACATCTACCGAGACCTTCAGTAACAAGATTGACAGTCTTTACATTGTATTTGCCTTTTACTGCAGCTAGGGGGGAAGGTGTCACCCTAGACAACTAACAGCCTGACATTTTTTGATTTTTTAACTAGTGCATGATATAAGACTTCCCAGCGGGATGAGATTTCTTTGTCAGAAAACACCACATATACAGGTCTCAATCAGCAACAAAGAAAAAAGGCATTATATTGTCTACGGGTTGCACCAAAATCACAACAAATAAAAAGTTCTTTATAAGAGCTTTAATTTGGGCCATACTGACCTCCAAAAGAGGCATATATTCATTTACTATAAGCCATTAAGTCCCTATACTTGTCGTTTCATATAATATTTCTAGTTTTGTCTGATGGGAATCACATTAGGTATAGTGAGTTATTTTAAGTATAAAATAGACAGTTACACTTGGTAAGTTCCAATGTTTTACAATGTAGTGATCACGGAGAGCCTGCTCATTTGGAATACACTTAATCCTATTGATTTGTAACTATTTCAAATAAAGTTACAAATTGCATTGCAGCTTTAACATGAGGCCTGCTGGTGCAGCTTCTTCTGTGTTCCTGAAGTGCATGTTTAAGTTAATTCTTGAGCCTAAGCTACTTCCTGTGCTTGACAAGCTGCTGTACATTTGCTAAGCTGCAGAGACCGTCAGCGAGTCTGTAGACGGCTCCAGTGCTACTTAGCAAGAGGAAGAGGAGCCCTTCTGATCTCCCAGGATTACTGAGTGTGTGTGCACGAGTGTGTGTGCAGATGTGTGCGAGTTCAGGCCCTGGATGGCTTAAGATGGACTGTATATTAGAGGGGAATATTAAGAGTCTCCGGAGTTTCACACCTTCCTCCTCTCGAAAACGCAGCCAGCTAATGAGAGAGAGAGACAGATGTGGAGAGGGCGAAAGAGAAGGAGATGGAAAACACAGACAGGCTGTCTCCCCATCTCTGACGTATTGACATGCAGGCCATGTATGTGTGTCTGTGAGGGTGTGTGAGTGTGTGTGAGTGTATTTGTGCAGTAGTAGGCTGCTGGGTTAGAGGATAATTGCCAAACCGTTGGGACCTGAGCTCTGCCCGGCCTGTCAAAGCAGGCGTGACAAAACCTCCAATCAACCCTGCAGCAACCAGAGAGAGAGAGGGGGAGAGAGAGAGAGAGAAAGAAAGAGAGAGAGAGAGAGTAAGAGAGAGAGAAAGAGGGCAATGGAGGGGAGGTTTATCATGCCATTCCTCTTTTCTGAAATGATATCATTCTGTGCATACTTTTAGTGGCAAATTACTTTGTATGCTGATGATGTAGTTCTCCATCTATCTATCTATCTATCTATCTATCTATCTATCTAGCTATCTGCATGACAGTTTTGACCTTGTGTCCATGACTTTGGACCTTTCGTCCAATCACTGTCAAGGTTGGATTGACAGAACCAGGAATGAAGAACCATGCCGTGATTAGACTGCAAGCCTCGAAATGAGGTACTGTATACACACACACACACACAAACACACACACACACCAATGATACCTTACTATACACTCACAGCGCTCATGCACCTCTGTGTGCGTATGAAACAGCACATAAAAGACTTGGTGAAATTCAAAAAAACATAAGGAAGCGGATACTCAAATGCATGCATATGCAAAAAAAGATCAGTTTGTGCTTGGCATGTCCATATGCATACATAAAGCTACAGTAAGCGCGCGCGCACACACACACACACACACACACACACACACACACACACACACACACACACACACACACACTTTGCCTGTGGTAGTGACTGAGTCCTGTGGTTATTACTGTAGCGCCGCTAGGCTGATGGTTTAGGGCCAGCCACAGTTCGCTCGCTCTCTCTCTCAAAGATGTACACACAGCCACACACACACACACACACACACACACACACACACACACACACACACACACACACACACAGGTTGGTTGGATGTGAACACATAGTGTATACACATGCAGGTTGTGGATGTCACCCATTCTCGGGGGATGCAGGTGGTTTGCCTGACGCTGGGTTTCTTCCCAAAGTGCTGCAGGGGAAACCTAAGGAGAGAAAGAGGAGGAAGAGGGAGAGGAGGAGGTAAGGAACTGGTTAGGTGGTTTAGTCGGGTCTGGTTGGCTTGTCATGAAAGATGTATTCACACTAAAGGGATACAGACAGTGAAGATGGTGTGAATAAGCTGTGGAAATGAGAGGGCAGGATCATCCTTGTTTTTATGCTCAAACTGTTCCTCTGGTAGGTTTGTTAAAGCTTTTCATGATATTGGGATAGTATCAGTTTTTCTGATACCGATATCAGACTTCAAAATCTATTCATCAAGTACTCACTGTGTCAGATTTAGTGATCAAAGAGCCTTACAGACATGACAGACTTCACAGTAGTTCATGACCAGTCATCACAGCCGACATTCAGCCATTGGACCGGGGCAACATGACTCAGAAATTCTAGTGGAAGATACTCTCCAGGTTTTAAGTTACCCTCCAGCTTTTTAATGGCAGATTATGAAAATAGCTACATGTTTTGGACCCCATATCTGACCCAAAAATTTGAAAAGGGGACCAAAAAACCCCACCCAGCTACAAAGGACAGTTAAGTAACCTTTTTTAATCACTTTTAAGTAGGTATATTAACTGGTAAAGTCACAATGTGACTTGAAATCAGACCCGGTACTGATCCTTGAGGGACACCATACAACATTTTTTTTTTTTACAGTTTTTTTCTCAGTCGATTTGGTGCATTTCTCACATCACTATGCTCAAAATGAATAGTTCATTCCTCAAAGGCAAGTATTTATTTCAATTAAACTGTCTGTGTAATCAAAATAATAAGTCCTGACATAAGTGTTTATGAACCCAACAATCAAATTGCTTAGTCGTGTTTTCATTATGATAGTTAATGCTCTCTGCGTTTCCAATGCAAAAAAGTCAGACCTTGGTGACACTACCTGAAAATGCTTAAGAAAGTACTATACACTACCTGTACAGCTATTTGAAAACTACAATAATGTTGCAGATTACTGTATTTAGTGAGGTAACTGAATACAAGACACATGTATGTTTCACATATTTATTGCATATGCTGCAATTCTACAGAATTGTGCAAAAAAAAGGAATACAGTCACTTATTCAGAACAAATATAAGAAATACCAATTTAGTCGAACTGTGCACAAATGTAAACAATATAACAGTACATATTACTGTAAATTGAACATAAATTATTCGGAAACATTTACAGTGGTTCTCCTGACATCTGGTTAAACCCGTCGACCAGCTTCAGCCATAGTGACGCTGTGATTGACAACATGGTCCACAAGTGTAGCCCTAATTTCATCAAGGATCATCTGCCTATGTATCTCACCTCTTCTTCCTCTGCCCCTGTTTTGTCCCCTTCCCCTTCCTCCCTGCATTCTCACCCCTCCTCCACGATGCTGACCTTCCATTTTTGTGTCACAGAATTGTAGAAATGGCACACACTATGTCCTGCTTGGTTTATATATGCTTGCCAAGTGAGAGTTCATGGGATTCAGCTCTGAGTGACTGTGGACAAGTGGCTTGTCATTGGTTACAACTAATGCTTCACACACCTCCTCATGAGTGAAAGCTGAGGTTTCACCTGAGAGCAATTGTTCAATTTAGGAGACTTTTTCAGGAAAAAAAAAGATAAAGAAATGTATGAAATCAGCTTGACAAATTTCGAGAACTAGTTCAACAATTTTGTATGGAATAACTCAAGCAATGAAATAAGGACTATTAGTTTTATATGGAATG